CTACAATGCTATCAAAATTAACTGACCAAAGGGCAGGAGGAAAAACAAGCAGTTACATTTTGGTGAAACTAAGAAATATACTCTAAAATATCTGCATGTGCAGGAGCCATGATGGAGAACAGGGCAGAGAATGACGGAAAATCTAACAGCAGGGATCCTCCAGAATATCCCCCAGAATCTTCCTCCTAGATGTGAGGAGCACCCAGGATGCAGAATTCTCACTTTTGTCTGCAGCAGCATGTGCAAGAACTAGGGTGATACAGAAGTGGCAAGCTCCTCCCGACCTCAGCTCAGAGCATAGAAATAGAGGAGGTGGGCGGCCTGCAGGATTGTGTGGCTAAGCCGTGCTTGCAAAAGGGAGTTTGGTTTTGCTTAGTTTGGCTTAGGAGAAAGCCTTCCAGTTGTGAATAATAACTAGCTTGGAATGTTACCCTGGGTCCATTATAACCCAGCTCATTAAATGATAAATAATAAAAACGGATTAGCATAGACCGCACACAGAGATAGTCTAAGGAAAAATAACAGAAGACCAAAACGCATTAACAAAAGAATGATATTCTTTGTAAAAGAAAAAAAAATGTTTTTGGGGGAAAAAAAGTTGAACTTTGAATACAGTAGCAGCCCTTCATCTATGAGGATGCATTGCCAGACCCCAGCACATGCCTGAAACCGCAGATGGAACCAAGCCCATATACATTGTAGGGTTTTTTCTAAACATACATGCATACCAATGTAAAGTTTAATATATCCAACTAATAAAGCTGAATAGCTATGACAGTATTCTGGAATAGAATTTATGTGGAGGTGGGCCCTCAAAACTATCTGACTGGGGCTAGGAAGATAACTAGATGGAGAAAGAACCTGCTGTGCAGGCGTGAGGGTTCGAACTCAGGTCCCTTGAATGCATGTAAAGCCAGACCTAGTAGCATGTGCAGCTGCAATTCCAACAACCTAGAAACACATAGGCCAGCTAGCTTGGTGTATTTGGCGGAAGACAAAAGACCGTGTCTCAAACAAGGTAGAAAGTAGGGACTGACACTCAAGGCTATTCCTCCAGCCTCCATTTGCACCCCCACTATGACAGACACAAAAAGACATGCACACACGTGCACACACACACACACACACACGCCATCATCATCATCATCACATCACACAAAGACTATGGAAGTGCATATGTACAGAAATGTATCTTCCTCAACTATGCTCATCCCCACTGTGATGGAAGATGATGCTAACCCTGTGTGAATAGGTGAGGAAAGCGAAGGAGGAAAGACTTGGCACACACCATAGCTGTAATGTCTATAGTAACACAAGCTTTCATGAACCCCGTCACCAAGAAATGCTTGTTCTTCCTGTGAATCTTCACAACTCTACCACATAATTTTTTTTCTGTTGTTTTTAAATCAGGCAATTTCTCTTTTCACGTTGAAGTAGCCCGTGTGCAGTTCTCTTCTCTTAGGCAGCCTCAGTTGCTGGCGCTGCTGCTCTCATGTGTCTGCCCTTTGACTGTTCCAGTTCTGGGGACACAGGTGGGCCCTCACCAGACACCATACCTGCGGGGAGTCTGATCTTGGATTTTCAGGCCTCCAGCCTGTCAAAAATTAACGTAGATTCTTTGGAAGCTGCCACTTTATGGCACTGTCTCTTAACACTAAGAGACGAAGACTTGCCTTTTACATACCATGCACTGCTCTGAACTCTTAAGTACAGCGGTAGATGAAGCAAGCTGAATCTCTAATCTCCTACACACATTGTCCCTCAAAACTCCACGTGCTCAGAACTTCTGCATTTACAACCTCACCAGCCTCATGCAGAAAGACAAAATAAGCACTGTTTTGACTTCATGCTTATGTGTATTTGTGGCCACATTAGTGCGGTGTGGTTGACCCTTTCTCCTTCTGGATAACTTTACGTGCCTCCTGCCTCCTCATCCTTATACCTCTATCTCTCCCCTTGTCACTCTCATGCTCACACTGTGTCCATGCTTACAAAAGCTTTCCTCAAAAAATACTAAGGCCCCACACCCATCAGCCCTGGAAGTAGATGGGTGAGGGCCCTGAGCTCAAGTCAGGGCCCACATGGAATCTCTGCCTACTTCAGTTCCTCAAGACATTTTCCAACTATCTGATTTCATGTGGAGTCAACCAGAGAGCCCAAAGAACTCAAACACTTGTGCCTTCAAGGCTACTCATAGACATTATTTCCAGCCCTCATTATTGAGGATAGCCTGCCAATGGATTGCTGCAGCTAGTTGGCACAATATTGTCATGGTAACAAGCAGGATTGCAAGGCTAGAGCGGTGCTGACATAATCGTTTATATACAGATACAGGCCACAAATACACTGGGAGTGCCATTGGTCCTCTACAACCCAAATACACACTCTGAAAGGTCACTGGGTACTGGTTTGCTTGCTTTCTGAGTGCTGACCCACCATAAATAGGATACCGTAACCTCCATTCAGAGGGTGACTGCAGCTTTGATGATCACCATTAGCTGTACAATATCCAAATCATTTCTGGAAACTTATTCAATAAATACATGCTGAGCAGGTAAATCGCATGACTGATCTATTAAACTAGAGCCTTCTCCTTTCCAGACTGTGAGATCTGAAAACAAAGGATTTGGTCTTTCTTAACTTGGCACCCATACTGGCATAGTGTCTGCCATATAAGAAGGCACGAAATCAGTATGTGTGAATGCAAAAATACATGAGTAAAAAGTGAGCAGATTAATGTGGGTATATTATCGACAATATATTTCTTCCCATATAAATCACCCAGGGAGCTCTAAGAACATGCAGTCCCTAGGACCAGATTAACCAGGATCTCTAAAGATGCATGAGGCAAGACTATATTTATTGAACTTCTGCAGGAAATTCCAGTGTACAGCCAATTAAGGGCAGTGTGAGCTGCCATCCAGTCTTACTTGGGACTGAGGCATCTCCCTGAATGAAGGAATTTCGTGCTCAAACTGTCACAGTCCTAAGCCAGCCAGGATGGTTCATCACTTGTACCAATCCAAACTGTCACCCAGACAGTGCTTGAGTGATGTATTTTCAATTTTTAAAGAGACAAAATTCACTGGCTTCATGTTTTTATTTGACACTTACCTAATTACATTCAAGCCCATAGCTCACCTTGACCTCAATCACTCTTTCCTCCATGGGCTCTTGTTCAGGCTTGTGTTACTATTGACTTGGGTAGCATACGAATTGGTGACATATAACTGATGATGGGAATGACTAAACCATTACAGTGTGTAAGCAGCAGTCAGCAGACCAGCTTTTAAAAAGTAAAGTCTGTCCCTCTTCTCCCTCTCTCTTCCTCTTTTTCTCCCTCTCCTTTTACTTCCCTCCTTCTCTCCCTCCCTCTTCTTTTCCCTCTCTCTCTCTCTGAAGCTAAAAATCAAATTGATATAACCATATTTTAAAAAGAAAAAAGGAAAGAAGGAAGGAAGGAAGGCGGCCTGGGATGATGATGAAAGATTGTCCAGCAGTTCAGAGCACTATAACTTCAGTTCTCAAGGATCTGGCTCCCTCTTCTGACAGGCAGCAGGCCTGCACATGGTATATATACATATATATAGGCAAAACACTTACATGTATAAAACAAAATAAAGAAACCTTACAAAAGCATGTTTAGTGAAAAGAGCACTGAGGTTTGTTTCCTCGGAAAACTAAGACCAGATGGGATATGTGGTGTGTGGGATATGGGATATGGCTGTGTGGCATAGCTATCCTGTGACCAGGTGCATGCCAAAGGGAAATGAAATCTGTACAGCAAAGGGGCATCCATACTCTTGTCAGCACCATCACAAGACTCAGGCTATGGACTCAATTCAGAAGTCCATCACCAGATGAATGGCTAAAGAAAATACAGGGTATTTATTCAGAATGCTATACTAATCACCAGAAAAGAAGGAGGAACATGCCATTTGCAGCAACACAGATGAAAATGGAGGACAGTGAGCTAAGTTCAAAAGCAAACAAATTAAAAAAAAAAAAAAAAAAAAAAACTATCACAGAAAGGCAAACACTGAAAGTTCTCCCTTAGATTTGGAAACTAAACATTGATTTCATGGCATCAGAGAGATGGGTGGTGGGAGAAAAGAAATAGGTGGAGAGGGGTGTTTAATGTGTCCAGGGTACATCCTGTTAAGAGGAATGCCGTTGACCGGTTGACCGAGCCGTCGCACTGGAGGAAAACTGGGGTTTACAACTGACTATATTCTTGAAAATTGATAATAGAAGGAATTGAATGTTCTCAGCATCCACATACAAATGCTCTACGTGCGAGTGATTCTAATCTTTTCTGTATACACAGTGTGCGTGTGCCTAAATGTCACACCATTAACCCGTAAACATGCACTTACTGTGTCAATTAAAGCAAAACCTTAGGCTTTTAATAGAGGGAAATAATGAGCAGTTACAAAATGCCACTTTCTGACTAGGATCCCAGTGAACCTTCGCTTTTTTTTTTTTTCCTTCTCTGAGTTAGTAACATACATTTCCATATATTTCAGTCACCCTGGCATGAGTTTGCAACCCCTGTTGTAATCTGAGAAGATGAGTGATTTTCTTAATGGGAAATTCTCTGCATAAGTAAAATTAACAGGCATTATTTCAAACAGTAATCAATTTACTTCAAGAATGTGGCTTACACATTGATGGGTTTACATCAACCTGTGGACACCAAAGCCGGCCTGTGAAGGTGAGCGCAACCCAAAGCTCTCAAGGAACTTGTCACTCAGCAGACAGTCCCAGGTCGTCGGAGGCAGCAACCAGGTTTCTTCAGAACCTGGTTTGTTTTAAAATTAATTAATCTACAGTGCACAGTAAAACACTGGCAAAGAAGGCTCCTCCCTCAAAATGTCAGTGGTGGAATGGAGTCACACATCTCCTTCGCTTGCTCTTGGGGAAGGGGGATTGAGAGGCGAGTGATGGACAGAGTCTTCGAGGCTTGACTAACGACTGTTTCTCTTGCCCTCTTTATACAGGAGCCAATGCATCTGCCCCAGACCAACTGAGCTTAGCTTTAGCCTGGAACAGAGTTGACATCGCTCGCAGCCAGATCTTTATTTATGGGCAACAGTGGCCGGTAGAGTATATATGTGCACGCATGCGTCCGTACCCTTGTGAAGCCCGTGGGATTTATGGAGTCTTTGAAAGTGGTAGGGGAGAGATCTCCCTTTGCATAGCACAGCACGTGGCCTGGGAGACGTTCTCGTGTTTGGTAACATGCTGCCACCTAGTGGAAGATGTAACTAAGCGCAACACCAAATGCTCCCTGGCTCTTTGAGCAATTTTTGGACGCGAATCCTCTTTTTATTCTCTCTTTAAAGACAGGGATAAAACAAAGTTAAAATAAATGAAGGCGAGGATTCGTATGCTTCTGGTTGTCTTTTGGGCCAGCAGAAGGAGGAAGCTGCTGCCACCAAAAGGTGGCACGTGCATGCTGGTATGCGACAGAGCCAGGCCTCTGTGTGCAGCAGGTACCTTCTGGTCCTGGGGGCCGAACACAGGTCGGCCCTATCCGGACACCGGTCACAGGTGAACCAAAGCTATTTATAGCTGTCCATGGTTTTGGTTTTTTGTTTTGTTTGTTTGTTCGTTTGTTTGTTTCTGTCACTTACCTGAAAAAAAAAAATTGGGAAATGGGACATTGGGTGATATACGGACGCCACAGCTGCTTGGAAGTTAAGACCTTCTATCCCCAGGAGCTCCAGCTACCACTGAGCACCTGTCTTCACAGGGTTCAGAGACTGCTAGTTGGGGGCATACTTCTCAAGGAATCTGGACGTTAAAAGGAAATGAAAAAATGTGAAAGGGATACAAATCTCGGCGAGTGGTGCCACCAGAAAATATGTTGTCCTTAAAGGACATGACACCAGCCTGCCTCGGGGTGTCCTCTACCCACCTACACTCCTGTCCCAGCCTACCTGGCCCTCAGCTCTGTTTACCTGAGTTCCTATCCTAGAGTCAGCCAGGGCTCTCATCAGAGCCTTAGAAAGAAGAAAATGTTGGCAGAAAGTGGTCCCGCCCTACCTCTATAGGCGTTTGCAGGGAACTAGCCAGAGCATCCGTCCCGAGGGAAACCTGGAGTCCTGAGCCTCCAGAACAAGAAAGAGATTCAGGGGAGAAAGTAGCTTCTAGACCTGCAGGCCTTGACTTCTGTTTCCCAAGACATGACCTACAGGACCAGGGGTAGACCTGAGGTGGGGGTGCTGGCTCTCTCTGGCGTCTCTGGAGATTCGCAGACGTCGCTAATCTGTTTAAAGCACCGAGACACCGCACTTCTCTGGTACAGGCGGACTAACTGACTATCTCGAATTACAGGTAGGGTCCCTGGAGCAAGCCATGCTGGACGCCCTAGTCCTGGACAGAGTGGATTTTGTGAAATTACTCATAGAGAATGGAGTAAGCATGCACCGTTTTCTCACCATCTCCAGACTAGAGGAACTGTACAATACGGTAGGGCCAAGCTAAGATGCCTTTCAGTGTCTGTGTCTCTTCTGTTTGTTTACCGTCTCCTGCCTTGCGCCCCGCCCCACCCCCGCCCCCGCGGTGCCTGTGATTCTCTTCCTGTCTCTCCTGTAATGCATGCATCATTCCTCACATGCACTCCCGTACACCTGGCTGGACAACAGACAGTCACCAAGACTTCCCTTGTTTTAACTGCTCAGTTGTCAGCATTTTCGGCAAAAGGTGTAGTGGTCACCAGGGGACACTGTTCTCAGACGCTAACACAACCACAAACTAACTCTGTCAGAACACAAGTACTCCGTAAGCCTGGGTGGTGGAGGGGAGACAAATACAGCAGAGGACCAGCCGTCAAATGAGGCTGATTAAGTATCCTGTATCATTGTGTCATCCTCAGAGCTAGGAAGTTCTTTTTTTTTTCCCCCCCCACCCCTGTGATAGTATAAAATACCCTGGAGTCATCCAAAAACATTTCGTGGTGGTGGTTGTTCTTGGCAACAGCATTCACTAAAAAAGGCAACTAAGTGTAAAGAACTGATGTTGTTTTTTACCATTTCACAGATGAGAAAACTGAGGCGGTCTTAGTCTATTTGTGCTGCTACAACAGAATACCTGAGGCTGGGTAATTTATGAAGAACATATATTTCTTTCTCACAGTTCTGGCGGCTGGAAGTCCAAGATCAAGGTGCCAGTAGGTTCATTATCTAGTGAGAGCCATTTCCTTTTTCCAGCCTGTGTCCACTGAAAGGGACAAACACTGCGCTGTTAGGGCAGAAAGGTTGGAGGTACAAAAGTGTCACCCCTCTTCTGTCTAGACCTCAGTTCCGCTTACAAAGAATGTACCTTTGTAACCGAATCACCTAATCACTGCCCCTCTCCACACTGCTGTACTAACATGAAGCTTAGCATGAATTTTGTAGAGTCACAAAAGTATAAACCACAGACAGAGGGAGGCTAGGTAGTTTACTGAAGATCCTAAATCTCTGAACAACAACTAAAAAAAGACGCCAGTACCTAATGTAAGCCTCTTCTCGGAGGCTCTCTTTCCACTCACCGGCCACAATGTCTGTCCCTGCACCCTGGGTGCAATGGGACAGGGCTATGGGCTGCTCCCAAAAAGAGGTAGAGAATACCTGTTTCATCTCAACCCACTGCAGGAGGAAAGTCGGCTGGCAGAGTGGATCCAGGTTCTCTTTTCCCTGCAGACTTGTCTTGCCTCAACACACTGAGATTTACAGTAAGGAATAAATACACCTAGGAATCATGACTTAGATGTCAGTTAGAGAGTTATGGACATGGAAAGGTTCATTCCAAAGCCTAGGAAAGAAAGAGAGAGAGAGAGAGAAAGAAAGAAAGAAAGAAAGAAAGAAAGAAAGAAAGAAAGAAAGAAAGAAAGAAAGAAAGAAAGAAAAGCCTATTCCTGGACCTTAAGCCAACAGGTTTCCTCATTCTCATCAACAGGTAGTCAGGCAGTAGTCACCTGAAGTGCTGTGTTGAGAAGAATTATGAAACATTAAATGGCAACAATAATGACACCTGCACTTCCTGGATGCTACGTGCTTTTTAAATAGCTTTATAAAGAAGGATTGCATTACTTACTTCTCAAGTAGACCTATCAGATGAGGTGGTATCGTGATCCACATTTTAGAGAGGCGACAGTCAAATCACAGTGAGCTCTGAGGTGGCGATATACACACCCAGGTTTGGGACCAGGAACACCAGCCCAAGAACATTATCACTGTTCTAGATCCTCTAATCATGCTGCCAGATTTAGTCAAAAAACTGCAGCACACCAGCAAATCTGTGTTTCAGATGAGCAATGGTTGTTACATAGGCAGGGTTGTCCTTCATTTATTTGCGGAGTTCATCCTAAGAGTTACCACATGAGAAAGAAAAAAAAAAAACTTCAGATGTTCAAATTCCTCATCCAAACGACATCGAATTTTCACAGAACCTATACACATCATCTTTTTTTTTTAAAAGTAGCCTCTCCCTGGAAGCTAAATAATGAAGCAGCTAAACCAGAGACTTTGTGCTCTGACATACAGTGTCGTATGCAAGGTAAACACCATATACGTAATCAATAGCCAGAAAGGAATGATGATAAGAAAAGTACCTGTACATGTCCAACACAGACACAGTTCCCCTAAAATACTTTTGTTACATTTGGTGGACTCCACAGACACAGACCTCACGAAAGTGGAGGGCTGACTATATATTCCCAGTATGGCATGGGGTATCATTGCTCATCTGAAATTCAAATTTCATTGGGTATTCTGTAAGTTGCTTAGCATCTCCTGAAAGTTTACAAAACAACAAATCATTTGCTTTATTCTTGGCCTCAATAGATACATACCCTTTCCTGACCTTTTTCCCCAATGAGCTTATGACTTTTCCTTAAGTCGGATGTCAGAGAACCAGCACCAAAATATAAAGGCAGCCCATGATTCTTGTACAGCCTGGGAGCTAAGGACGACTCTCTTTTATATGTAATGGCTGAAACTATCAAAGGAACGCAAAATTCTATGACATATTCAAATTTACAAAATCTGGCCAAGTATAGTAGCAGCTGCATGTAATCCCAGAAACTCAGAAGGCTGGATGAGAGATGTAAGATTTTTTTTTTTATAGGCCAGCTGGGGTTTAACAGTAAAACCCTCTCCTAAAAAAATATTATATGGAATTTAATTTTCTGGTACCAGGAAATAAAATTTTATTGAGACATGGCCAAGATCACTTGTTTATGTATAATCTATAGCTGCTTCCATACAATAATAACAGCTAAATAGATTAAGTAAAGATGGCATAGTCCATAAGCTTTCATTATTTACTTTCTGGCCTTTTGCAAAGACAGTTGGCCAGTGCTTTTTGGAGACAGGTTTTCAATGACAACTTGGAAAATGACACCGAAGAAAACTAAGAAATTTCTATGACAACCCCCTCTGCTTTCTCCTGCTGTAAAATTAGTTCCTTCTACATATATATATTAGTTGACAATCGGCCTTACAAAGTTTGAACCTAGACCTTCAAGCACATTTCCCTGGAGAGCATGTGACCCAAAACCCAGCCAGTCTTGGTTTCAAAGTGATGTATACAACTGAGCAGCTAGAACAAGGCCCAGCACAAGAGCTGCCCTCCACCAACCAGAACCCTTCCTTCCAGCCCCCTCTTACCTCACCACCTGGAGCCCCTGACTAGCAAAAACTGTTTGATTGTTCTTTATCGTTTTCAGAGACATGGGCCCTCAAATACATTGTACCACTTGGTCAGGGATGTCAAAAAGGTAAGAATCCTCTAGACCACAGGTCGGAGGCCCTATCCTGAGTGCTTCCTGTGATAGAGAGTATCTGTTATGCATGAGCTGCCCCATCTCCATGTCCCTGCTGGCTCCCTTCATGGCAGAGCGGTGTATGTGATCTGCTTCGTAGCTCAGACACCTCTGCTGATAATGCTGCTGTGGCCCTTCCTCCGGTTGCCATGGTTTTAGATGCTTTTGTTGAATGTAACGCTTTTCTATATAGCAGATTCTAGGCTTTCCCCCATGCCAAAGTGGATTTATGCCATTGCCTATATCTTTCCAAATGTTCCTTACTGCTTGGGAAATTAATTTCCATGGTACCTTGCCACAATATGTACCTTTCTGCTAGCTCCTGACAACATCCTACCTACCTTCACATGAAGTGTAGTTAGAATAGCTGAGAAAAATCATCTATACATTCCACTCTCTTAACACTTTATTTTTCCAAAATATGTTTTATACCCATCTATTCAACTGATTTATATATACATATACATATACATATACGTACACTCGAGTTATTCAGTTTATAAAGGAGGCTGAAGGGTAAGGAGGTAATGACTATATTCAATGATTTGTAACAGGCTAGCATCACCACAGAGCCTTTATCAAGGAAAATAGGCAATGACCGGGGCTCACTAGCGATGAGACACGCAGCATTACATATATAGGCTTTCTATATTGACCTATTGATCTACTCTTCACAAAGACTGTCTGAGGCAGAATTACAGTTCCTTGTTATTGTTGCATAATATTCTCATTTAAAATTGAACATTGGAAGGTTATGTTGAAACTCAGCATATGCTTGTTCCTTTGCCCCAAGCGGTCTTCCCCCCACCCCCTTAGGGTAGCTTGGCTTCAGAACCTTTAACTCCAAGGAACAAAGCAGAAATTGTAGACTTTCCCCACAGTATAGGAATGCTGTGGTACTATGCTATAACCCAAGGACATACTTAAACCTTGACCAGCAGGTTGTTCTTCAGTGGCAGGTTCCTGGAGGGGAAGGACTATGAGGATCAGGAGACAAAGCAGTTAGGCAAGTTAGGATCACGAGGTCTTGCCCACATTATATCATATGCCTAGCCAGCTTATTAAGTACAACAACCTATACACAGTGTTCAAGAGGCAGAAATGAGACAGAGTCAGTAGAAAACTGTCACACAGTGGGACAGAGTCAGCAAAAAGCTAATCAAGCAACGTTACCCAAAGGGAACACGGGATGTTTCAAGTGCACCACAGACTCGGCAACCATGGCTGATCACCACAGCCCTTCCAGAACTGGAAGGAGGGGATTTTCCCAGGATTGCAAGCCTCAATTATCCCAATGACCTGGACTTAGGATATTTCTGGCCTTGCCAAGCATGTTTTTGGCTTTATACAAAGAAATAAGTTCCTTCTCCATATATCAGGGCCTCAGAGAAAGCCCTGTACTGAACTAGCCCTCAACCAAGAAACAAAAGTACCAGGCAAGTCAGTCTATCGCCTCATAGGAAGTTTTGACTAGAATTGACCCTTAGTAAGAAACTTTTAATATTTTTCTTCAAAACGTCAGAGGCCCTGAAAGCTGCTTATAATTGGACTAACCTTCTGGACCTTTGTTAAGAATGAGTAAAGGCTATAAGAACAAAAACAAAATCAACATTCCCCTACAAACACTGTTTTGGTTTTTTGTTGTTTTGTTTTGTTTTCTTGCTGCCACAAACCTTTCTTCCATCTTCATACAACTATAATGGAGGATTGTCCCACACTGTGAGCAGAGCCTGTACCTCTTAAAATCAAGGGAAGCAGGTCCTATGCAGCCCCGACTCACCGCTTTCCTGAGTTCCCAGCTTTCCCCAGTCTGGCCCACTCTGAGCTGCAAGTAGTATCTATACCTTCAACAAACCCATTTCCTTCATATAGTCTCCCTTTTATCCTGGTTTAATTTTTTCTGGAAACTAATCTCAGATGATTAGAGTCCCACATACTCAACATATTATTTGATAGGCTTTCGATTCCTGTGTTCAAAAATTATTTTGAACATTTCTAAAATAATAAATATGATACCATCTCCTCACCTCAGACTAGTCTGGTGTCCGGCTAGAATGTGAGGTTTTCTGATCAGAGGTGTATGCTTTGATTCCAAGTCCCAGTCACCAGGCAGCCCAAGCCTTGGAACAAGTCCCTCATTTACTTTACCTGCTCCCTCTCCCAGCAGTTAGGTCTTGCCTGATTTTCAAGAGGATTTGGGGAGTTAGAGTTTCTTGAGTTAAATAATCAGGATCGCTCATATTAGCTTCTCTTCTCCATAGAATTCCACTTTGCAAGACTGCTCTCTAGCTGAAAGTCTGTGAGCTGCCTCTTGTGTTTGCTCATATCACAAGTCCTATTAGATGACATGCAGTGTATCCTTGGGGTACTTCCTTCCCTTTCTAAAGCTTTTTAGCTGTTAATGTACCTTAAAAACAATGTAGATTGGTAAGAAAGGAAAGGATGGTGAGAACATGGGAGAAAGGATATTTGTTAGGAACAGATCTTTAAGAGTGACAGGAATAATAGAGCAAGAAGATAGTTCTATTAGTGTTCATTCACTCCCTGATTTAGGAACCAGAGGAAATGACTCTAAACCTCACTTAGAATAGCCCTGAACTGGTCTAGAAAACAGTTTCCCCTTTTGCTCAGTGAGGAGGCTGCTAGTCAGATAAAGGCAAAGACAAAGGCTGTGTTTAGTTCCTTCTCCTGGAAAAAGTAGAAACAGAGAATGAAGACGCTGATGAGGGGAATGTCTGGCCACTAAAGCGAAGAGAGAGCTAGCCTTTTCACCCTCAAAGGAACCAAACATGTCAACAGTTTATGTTCATGGATGAAATGAGCTGACAATTAAGCTCTTTCTTTTGTGTTTCTCAATGAAGGGAAAGGGAGAGAAATTAACATCTGGGCACAAATTTCTTCTATGTTCCCATAGGACTATGACTTTTTCTAATTTAGGCCAACTAGTTACTCAGGGGATTCACAATCTAGGTTAAAAATGCAGAGAATATTCTAGGCCATTTAATTTTCAAAATTAAAGAATATAATAATAAGTGCCTCCTTCCTTACATATATGTGTGTATATAATATATTATATGTACATATGTAGTAGGAAGCTTCAACCAGTAATCATATTCTAAATAACATATGTGTGTGCATATACATACATACACATACACAAAGACATGTTCATGAATTAGAAACACAGTTGTGATCCTTAAACATAGTATTTGGTGAGATGTCTCTAAATTAAATGCAAATGAGGCTTACACACCCAAGGATACATTTCACAATAATCAGACCACCATTAGCCAATCAGAAGATTATCTGCGAGTCCAGCTGTTCTTTGGAACCAACAAAAAGAATGAGGAGAAATCCTTCCAAGCTAATCTCAAGATCTCAAATTATTTTGTATCCAGAAAACAATCTAGAAGCGATGTGATAAAGAAGTGCTATTACACTCCTCATCCACCAGAAGTTTGAACTGATATAAACCGAACCAATTCTATGAAGCAGTTTCATGCATAAATCCATTGACTCTACTCATGCTTTCCTATTAAACTAGTGACTCAAGTCTGTCTGCACTTCTGTAAAATATAACCTACTGTTTTAGTAGCTGTCTGCTCAATCTGTGGCTCCGGGATGTTTTAAACAGTAGTTTTTCTTTCTTCAATGAAATGTACTAATACTTTAGATTATCTGTGCTATCCTTCACCACCAGAGGAGGGTGATTTGAGTACTATACAGAGGCTGTGGTATAATGAAAATGATTTGAAGTTCATTTACATAGGAACTAAGACCTAGTTTTGCTGAATACGGAAGAGGTAGAACTAGAGAAAGGGGAAAGGAGAGAGAAAGGCAGGGAGGGAGGGAGGGAGGGAGGGAGGGAGGGAGGGAGGG